GGGGGGGGGGGGGGGGGGAGTTACGATCAGACACGACAAGAGCCCGTATTAATCTCTACACCGGGCGGTATAAAATTATTCCATTGTACGTTGGCGGAGTGGAACCCGCCGTAGTGGTGCAGCATCGGCCAAGTATCGCGGCACAATGGATCGACTATATTCGCCCGACAGGAAATCAATATACGCGGCTTCGAGCGGGGGTCGAACGGGATTTTTTTCCGCGGGAACGACGCCAGGGAGGGAGGGAAGGGGTCAGAGCGGCGGTTTGATTTGAGCGCCTACTGTACGGACAAGAGGACAAAGCCGATCATCTCGAGTCACTGTAATTGCCCACCACCGGCAGGACACCCGTGGTGTATGTGTCAGGTAGAGAGATATATATATATATATAGGGCTGATCGCTCGTGTCCGGCCTCTCTCGTTCGTCGTGATATGAGACTGGTCGCCGAAACCGACGACGACGAGAGTGTCTCAGGTGCACGAATCGGTCCTCGTCGAGAGATCCCGACCGACTCGGCAAATCGGCAAACTCGAGCTGATCGGAGCGCGAAAATGAGAAACGGCGCGGAAATCTGGGTTAGAGCGCGCCATCCGCCGGATTATTATCGCCGGATTATATCCAAGCTGTCAAACATCGTCGCTGATGAACATGTGACGGTGATAACTGTAAGTGTCCCGGCACGATCTGTCTGGAAATGGTGCTCTGTCAACGCCGTGTTACGATGGAGAGACGGGAGAGACGAGAGAGAGAGAGAGAGAGAGAGAGAGAAAGAGGGAACCAGCCGCGGTGGCGGGCAGCCTATATCCATCGGATGCAATGTTCAAAAAGTTTCCGGCTCTGTCGGGCGCGATTTCACGGCGAATTGGACAGAGATATTAATTAAATCGGCGAAAGATCGGACTTCTTTCGCGATCGCGCTCGCGAATTTCATCTCATCGCTCGTACGCGCAGTTCTTTTTGTCCTGCTATTGTTGACACGAAACTCACTCCTTCCCTCCTCTCCTGCCCCTCTCTCTCTCCCCTTCTCGGATACATGCAAAAAAGTTGGCGCCGGAGTTAAAGCAATTGCTGAAGAAGTTGAAGGCGAGAGAGAAGGATATCAAAGAGCGACCTCCCGGTTGAAAAGTCCTAATTGCACCGGGCGGGTCCGATCAAAGGGCCGCCGGAGTGAAATAACCGACGCACGAGGAAATAATTACGCGAGCCATTAGAGAAACTCGAGCGCGTCCGTGCCGTAGCGGCCGTGCTGTCGCAAATGCAATTAACAATAACGATTT